TCTGAATTTTATGATAACATATCATTTGTTTCTCGACACATCTAAACTTTATTAAATTGGAAACTTGTCAAAAAAAAACCAATGTTATATTGTATTGTTTTTAATTTGTATCAAATATTTATTTCCTTCTGCTTTTGGAATGCTATCAATTCAATATAACTTTAGTCTATTTTTACGATCTTCATCTGCAGATTTGAATGCGCCTTTCAATTCTCTATTATTAATAATAATAATATACATATATAATAATGTCAAATAAATGAGCCTTCCAGTATCTTATAACTACATTCAGTAGTACAAACATCAAGATACATTTTCATAACATTTGCTATAGTTCTTAGATATATGTTACATTAATACTGCTCTGTAACTATTGTTGAAAGTCTTATTGGCGAAGAACGGGATTCTCGTATTTTTGACATTCTTTATATCATTTCGGTTTGAACTTTTTTCAAAATATGGAGGATGCAATTATTTTTAAAACTATATTAAAATATAGACTGTAAATACAAGAGATAAATTTATTTGAGAACCACAGTAAATATGCATAATGAATAACTTTCAAATATATATTTAACATCTCTTTTTATTGTTTATGTGTGTTCATGTCGTGATATGAAAAAGCTTCACTATTGATTTTGTAGACCTTGAAGAGTTATAGGTATGATCCAATCCTTGTTATACATTATTAGATGTTTATTAGCAGAAAGAGAGAATATTTGTTTTGCATATTTGTGTTTGAAAATTGTTTGTCATACATATGCGTAGCATTTCTCGAATAAATTTTTCTCTTTAATCTTGATAATTGACTTTTTGCTATGATTTTATAGACAATGACATGTTGAATATTTTGGGAAAAAGTTCGGCTCAAAACAATAGGAAATGGCAGAGATCTTGAGGAAATACTGAGAAGTTTACAGTTAAGGGCAATTGAAATTATACCCTTTCATTTTTTTTGTTTTTTTATTACTGTACATTTTTATTTATTAACTTAATATATATAGGAAGAAAACCCAGAACTTGCTGCATCTTTTGGTATATTTACTTTGAACATCAAATGCAGTTTAAAATGTAAAAATTATATTAGAAAAATCGATGTGAAGCTAGCATGACCTCCAATCACAATCGATCTTCCAACAGACCAATCAGCGCTCGAGCATGTTTTACCACCCCCACCCCCTCCAGTCCATAAAATACCACTAAAAACTTCCTTAGCAACCGAAACACATTTTCCTAGAATACATTAAAAATTAATAATTTCATCAAAATAAAAGACAAAAATTACAAAAAAAGAGATGAGTCACGCTTCTATGTGCTGAGTTTAGATATTGTGATCGATTTTTCTGAACTCAGATCCCATTGCAAAAACATAAAAAATACACCATTAAATGCAGAATTGAATTTTCTACCAGAATATGTAATTCTTATACTGAGAATCAATTTTCAAATGCCCCTCTCATGGGTGTGAGGTGTGGGTGGGTGTGGGTGTTCTATTCTTCAAAACCCACACCGAAGAAGTGATGCTTTGACGGAACATATATTGTTTGTTGAGTAGTTCTTGGTATATCTGGAAGTAAAACATAATATATTATGCAAGTTTCAGTTTCTACTCACTCAGATTTGACTGATGGTTGATGACTAAATGATGACATGTTGAGCATTCTGTGTGGGTTGTTGTCGTTGGATTGAAAGTGTTGGCGTTGAAGTTGTAAAGTTGTTCGAGAAACTGATGACATAATAAGTTGTTGCCGGTCCATATACACGATCTGCATGATGATGTCATTTACTAATATAAACCTGAAATCAAATCAAACAAAATTTCATTATTATTTCATACGTGTAAAACTCGAATAGTCGTTACGACTATTCAACTATTCAGTAGTTGGGGTGTCGCTGTGGGTGGCGATAGTGGATGTGGGGTATGGGTGTGGGTGGGTGTAGGGCATGGATATGAATGTGGCTGGATGTGGGTGGGTGTGAGTGTGGGCGTGAAGTGTGGTGTGGGTGTGGGGTGTGGGTGTTGATGGAAATGACACCCTCATTCACATTCACACCTATACCTTACACCACACTCACACCCGAATAGTTGAACAGTCGAGTAGTTGAAAAGTTGAACAGTCGAATAGTTGAATAGTTCAAAAGTTGAATAGTCGAAAAGTTGAATAGCCGAATAGTTGAATAAACCCCCCACCCCTATAGTAGAGATGACCTCTCTTGAATCAACAACCCAAAGGATAGATTAGAGGACCTGCTCACCTGCTTCTAAGGGGATCGTCAGAGGAGATGGGTGCGTCTTCTCATCTATCCTTCACTTCGTTGATTCAAGGGAGGGCCATCTCTGCCACAGGGGTGGGGGGTCTTCTAATGTGTCGGGGGGTTTAGTTGAAAAGTCGTTACGACTTACCGAGTTCTACACTACTGGCGAGATAGTCGGCAAAATGTAAATCGTATGCGGGTGTGGGTGTGGGTGTAGAGAAGATGTACCCACGCCCACATCCACTCCCACCCACACCCACACCCACCCACACCCACCCACACCCACACCCACACCCCACCCCCACACCCACACCCGCCGGACTTATAAGAAAATTATTCAGTTTCTAAAAGCATGTCCTATTGTTTTGAAGGAACTGAACAATTTCTTATAAGTTCAGCATCAACAGCTGATATTTTAAATTTAGTGACTTAGCGATGAGGGTGATAATTTGGTCCGAATATAGTTAAGTTATTAACTGATAATAGAAAGAAGCCAAATTGAGGTTTCATGTCGGCTGCTCACGCCCACATATATATATATACATGACGTACTACACAGTAAAAGCTTGTGAATAAAGTATTGGTCTGCCGGTAATATCTGGTTTATCGGTAGACATCTGATAGGATCCTAGCGGATTCTATACTTTCCAGCGTTTTCCGACAGATGGATCCGCCAATTCCGATGATCGAATCCTGCGACTAGAGATTCCGATAACTTTCGACAGGATCCGGGACCGAAATTTATCGCTCTGGGTAATCATTTGATTTTTATTTCTCATAGTTGAAAAAAACAATAGCTTACGTTAAAAAATAAAACGAAATTGATGTAAAAAAAGCACGAAGTATTATTTTATTCAGATGAAACAATTTTTAACTTTCTGTAAATCAGTTCTTTTAGATATAGAAAAAAAGATTTAATCCGTATCTATCATATGTAATATGTCGAAGCAAAGACAAACCAATATAGTGTTTTTTTTTTTCGTTCATTCGCTTATTCATAGTCAAGGTAGATTATAGAAAAAAACAATGCACCATTGTTCTCATTGACGATTAAAGTCAGACAGATGACGTCAATGTCTATGTATAAATGATCACATTTTAACGTTATAAATGAATATAAGAGACGAGAAAATAATTATGGCACATTCACTCGTTCAATTAGATGATTTGTCAGATGAAGTTCTTATTTATATTTTGAAAAAATTAGACAATGATCAAGTACTGTATTCTTTAATGGGTGTTAATAAACGGCTCAATACATTGGTACATGATTCAATTTTTACAAGTCATTTAACATTGATGACGAGATCCGCCAATGATTGTATCTCACCATTATCCGAGAGAATACTTCATCGATTTTACTCACAAATTTTACCTGAAATTCATCATCAAATTCAATGGCTAAACGTTGAATCATCATCTATGGAACGGATTCTTTCTGGAAATTATCCAAATTTATATGGACTCGGTTTATATAATCTTGAAATAGAAACCACGGCACATTTATTCACTAGTAAGATGTTTTTTTTGTTATTGATTTTTTTTTCAACAAATGAGAAGAATAGTAAAAGTGCGTAATGTTCATGTCATCATTGACTTAATGGAATAAAATAGATGATTGGATATCCTATCGATAAGAAATTGGTTTTATCTCGAAATGTAACTTCCAACGTAAATAATGAGTAAAAAGAAAATCTTCATAAAAAAAAAACGTTAGTTGAAAATTAGTATAAATGTTTGTATGAAAAATAAGATTTATCTAAAGAACATGTACAGATGATTAATTTTTTTCGAAAAACTTTTATATTTATCTTTAGATGGAAATATTTTTACTGATTTAATGAAAAATCAAATTTTATCATTTATTATCTCTATTAGACAAAATAGAAAGCAAACTTCAATAAAAGATAAGAATACCATTATGTTTACAAATCTCTTTACTATGTTCACCAATCTACAGTATTTAAACTTCTGTTCATCTTCAATTGATTCTCAATACATATCATTTGAGATTTCACCTCCAATCTTTATTTCATCAACACTTTTAGAACTACATGTCAGTGTAGGAAGCTTTAACGACTGTCTTTATCTACTTGATGGACGTTTTGATCAACTGCGAGCACTTTATGTTAACATTTCTTGGATTCATTGTTATTCACGTTTAATAAGCAATAATATGGTAGATTGTTTTCCATCAAAATCGAATTTATTCAAATGAAATTCTATGTTTTTTTTAAGGAAAGTTTACCTGATTTAAAATGCTTTTCATTACATTGTGGTACAGATACACTTGCTTATGATGAACTAATTGTTCCATTGTTACATCGAATGTTCAATTTAGAAAAGCTTGATTTATATCTTGCGATTTGTTGCAAGAACGCATTAATCGATGGCAATAATTTGAAAAAAAATATTATCAATCGTATGCCGAAATTAAATAAATTTACATTCAATATTCGCTCAACTGTTCGTCTTAATAATCAAATCAATTTACCGTCCAATGAAGATATTCAATATACGTTTAATCACTTTCCAAATAATCAAATTATTTCTTGTGTTGATTATTTTTCCGAGATAAAACAAGGTCAATGTCATATTTATTCATATCCATACGAATGGAAAGCGTGTCATAAAATAACAAATAACTTTCCAGGTGGAATATCTAAATATGTACGTGAAGTATCGCTATTTGATGAACAACCTTTTGAACATTATTTTTTTTTTCAAATTTCAAAATCATTTCCATTCATAAAAAAATTAACTTTAATTAATGAAAAACCACAAAATGATAAGCAATCTGGAAAATTAGATGATAAAAATGAGCATTTGTCAATCAGTGAATATCCACATCTTTCTCAACTTAATCTTACTGAAGCTCATGATGATTATATCGAAGAATTTCTTGTTGATACGAAAACCTGTTTACCAAATAATCTATATCTTTCTGTTGATTATCAAGCACTGAAACGTGTGACGCAACATTTTACAAGTAATAGAACACGAAATAATTGTAAAAAACTGCGTAGTTTAAGTCTAATAGGAAAATATCGAATTCCTAAATATGTAAAAGAATATTTTCCTCATACAAAAATATTATGAATGTTATCAATTTTTGTTTAAATAAAACGTGTTCTCAGACAAAATGGATTTTTATAGAATGGTAGTATTCACATGAAAAGGGAAAAGTAAAGGAGAACTGAAGTTGCGAATGCAGATCAAAGAAAATATTTTGTTACAGGTGTAAATTCGACTATCTCTTAGGTTATGATTATCGAAAAAATATAAAATAAAGACGTAGTATATTGATGTTGAATAAAAGAAAGAAAAAAACCGACTAAATATCATCATTGAGTAATATATGATGAGATAAATTTATTTTATGAAATGATAAAAATGAAAAGAAAACTTTTTTTCATATGATGGTAATTTTGACATATTCCTGTTTGTGAAATGTTGTGTTGTTGTTTGTGTTGTTGTTAGTGTTGTTGTTGAATCTTGAATTCTCTGAAAACATCATTTGCTTTTCGTTTTACTTTTTTTGCTAAATTCTTTAACTTATTGTATTTCACATCTGTACTATAAAAAGAGAACATTTAGGAATAAGTAGAGAAGCTAAAAAATTCTTAACTTACCCATTTTGATTGATAAAGTCCTCGTATTTGATCGAAAACCATGTGTAGTTTTTATCTCCATTGAACTATATTTAAAAAGAAAATTAAAAATGAATACAAACTGTTTAGGCTTACTTCGAAACGGATTCGAAAAAGTTCATTTTCATAAAAATGTACTGTTTCGATTTGAATGTCCTCCTTGGTATAATTTATTTTGACATGACCAGCACCATCTCGATAGAAGGTAAATGCGATGTTCTCCTATATATTAAAAGACAATAAACATCCATAGAACAAGACATAATTGCTTACTGTTTCTTCTTGATCCTTGACAACAAAATCATTATGAATTAATGACCAATGTGCGGCTAGTATAATTTTATCATACCAAGTAAAAATTTTGCCCTTGTAGGCGGGTGTGGGGTGTGGGTGTGGGTGTTCTATCCTTCAAAACCCACATCCACACCCACACTGAAGAAATGATGCTTTAGCGGAACATATATTATTTGTTGAGTAGTTCTTGGTATATCTGGAAGTAAAACATAATATATTATGCAAGTTTCAGTTTCTACTCACTCAGATTTGACTGAATAATATAGCTTTAACAGCAGCAAAAAAACTAACCATATTTATATTTATTTATTAATAATTTTCAATAAATTAGTCGACGTGTTTTGCTATATCTATAGCATTATCAAGACAATATGTTAGATAGAAAAATGACAATATATAGTTACAGAAAAAAGAATGACGTCATGTTCAAGAACATTCGTGTGAATTCAACGAATAGAAAACGCTAGAGTACCTTTACTTAGGGTGTGGGGTATGGGTGGGGTGTCGCTGTGGGTGTGGATGTGGGGTATGGGTGGGTGTGGGGCATGGATGTGGGTGCGAAGTGTGGGTGTTGATGAAAAGGACACCCGCATCCACACCTACACCTCACACCCGAATAGTTGAAAAGTTGAATAGTTGAATAGTTGGAAAGTTGAATAGTTGAAAGGTTGAATAGTCGAATAGTTGAAAAGTCGTTACGACTTAACGAGTTCTACACTACTGGAATAATAAAGATCTTCACAAGAATATTGATTATATCTAATTTGTCATCATAAGATAATTAATCTAAATATTTATATTTAAGTTTCTACAATATTGATAATTAGCTTTTCTTTCATTGAATTTCTTTCTATCATTGTTTATTTGATTAGCATGTATCTTATGATGCAATAATAACCATTAAATAATAAACATGATGATGACGATTATGCAAATAGTCATTCATATTTAAAAAGAATGCATTCATCAATTAATGTACAAATTTCTAGTTGAATCACTAGGATAGATCTAACCTATAAGTTTTGATGTCAAATAGATTTGCTTATATGTCAGAAAAAAAAAGAAAGATGAACTAATCTAGTTTAATATATTTGCCATCATATTGATCAATTAATCTAATGAAATAATTCAATTGACATTGACTTAATTATTTGTTTTTTCAAATTCTCATTACATTCATTTTCTTTCTTTTAATAGATATTAATTTTGTACAAATAAACAATAACGAGATAAAAACTTTAGTCATAATAATAATAATAATAATAAAAGTTGAAGATTGTATTACAGAACTATTCAATGAGAACAAAAACAAAAAAAAAACGAAGTAGTTAAACAAACAAACAAACAATAGATATAGAAGATATAAGATCAAACAACAGCCTAAAGAAGAAAAAAAACGATGTATATAATCACCGGATAATGGCTGTTTGATACAATACACATTAATTTTTTCTACAAGATTCACTAAACGAAAAAAGAAAAAAAAACAACACTAATCTACATATTTTAATTTTCTTTTTTGTTCAAATTAATTCTAAAGTTGATTATTCATTCATCATATGGACTTGTATGAATAATAGCATATTTATCATTCTTGATATGTATACGTAATTTTGATTTATTTGTTTGTAATCCACAACAAAAACAACAACTAAGTATTGTTGTATATAAATTTATTCCAATAGCAGCAATTATAATCCAAAAAGCTAAACCTAAACATTCAACATTAATTATCCATGGATTTAATGTAAGAATTAATGATTCATTTTGATTTAATTCATATGTATAATCTGGTCGATATAAACGTTCATATATCCATTCATATAAAAATATTCCTAAACCACTTGAACCACTTAAAAATGATATTAAAGAAAAAAAACTAATAAAACAAAATGGTATTGAATAAAATCTATCAATACAATTTATACAAAATAATATTAATAATGACATTAATGTTAATAATGGTGCAATAATAAATAAAAGTAACATTATATAATGACGTATACGTTTCATATAATAATAAAAATCACGTGGTGATGTTGAATATGATGATAAATAACGTGGTATATCTTGATTATCAATTAATATTGTTTGCCACATACAATTTCCTTCTTTCCAATAATAACGTGTTTGATTATATGGACGATGACATTCTTGTTCATCAATATATGATGGACAATCAGGTATATTGTCACATTTTTTCATCTATATAAAAAATTTCGAGATATTTTTGTTTTGTTTTTTTTGTATTAAATTTTTATACATACACAACATCCCGTTTCAGGACAAATCAATGATGATTGATTACATTGTTGACAAAAGAAATTTTTATTAGTTTGAATATTTATTTGTGATTTTAATATAAATAAATTAATCCATTTATAATCTAAACAATAACCAAGTAAACCATAATGTGTACGAAATCCATAACGAATTAATTGATTTTCTACTTGAATATTATTATTTAATTGTATATATTCTTCTTGTTGTTTATTTGTTAAATTATATTGATTAATTAAATTATTATCAATATAATTCCAACGTGTACTTATTAAACCATATATATATAAACCAATTGATATTAACATTGGTAAGACAATATTTATAACAAGTATACTAATTTTCATTATTGATTTATTAATCTTAAAACAAAAAAGAATTCGTAAGATAAATATTTTCTTTATCTATGGAAAAAAATAAATAACTATTCATACTTCTACTGAGTATACTTCTTAATTGGTGATTCTGACATATGATCATTTCTATAAATGAGGTTTACACTTTTCTTTGTAGATATTTTTCTTTAATGACTGACTGTGGAATGTTAACCTTTTCCTTTTTTTTTCTTTCTCTCTCTCTCTCTTTCTTTCTCTACCCTTTTATTCACACGAACATAACTATTGAACGATTTCTTTTTCGCTCATGTTCAACAAACATGCACATTGAATTAAAGAAGAAAAAAAAAGAAGGAGGCATCAGCAGTTGCAAGAACACGTTGTATTGTTACTATTCCTGCTTAATCAACCACTGTAAACGAAAGGAGGGCGCATAAACACTCACAATACCAGCGAATGAACGTGTGCATGTGGGCGTGCCTTTATCCCTACCGGCTAGTCATCATTCACATCCATGCATATATATAAAGTCGATTACGTATTCATCATTCTATATAATAACGTCGACACATATAAAATACGATGAATGGTTCATCTAATTTATTTGTGTATATGCACAATCTCTTTAGAGACTTCTATATATATTTATGCACATGTGTATAGGAGAGGTAATTTGATGCAGACTGACATAAAATATCAAAGAACGAAAATGTGCGTGACAACAAATCTTTTTTCAAGTGATGAAAGACAAAGATGATAGTGATTTATAGGATCTATTAGATCAAACGAGTTTTCATCATGAAACAAAAAAAAAAAAAAAGAGTAAATCCTTGAAAAATCTTACATAATAAAAATGGTATCATTCATTATTTCAATACTAATAAAAAGCAATGAAGCAATACATCAAGACAGAGAAAAAAAGACCTATGATAATAAATATGCTAACCTTAAAAATAAGTCACATATTTATTCATACACACAGATAGGCAAAGGTGAAAGAAAACAGCTAACTGCCAAAGCACAAGAGAATGAATGACTGATGAAGGAGACATAGAAAAGAAAAGAACCAGATAAAGACACCAATGGAACTTATGTGAAAAGCATTGACATATACGATAATCAAGATAGTTTTATCATAATATTTCAAATAATCATTAGAATCCATGTTTTTTTTTTTCGTTTCCCGCCTTGAACATTATATTTACTCTTCTAGATTAATTAAAATTTTGATGAATAACATTATCTAAGCAAAAAAAATAATCATATAGATGTTATTCATATCGAATTCGATGAATCGTTCATATAGAAATCAAGATTTTTGCTTATCATTCATATGAAATTAATGCTAACTATGATCATGTCATTTCACATATTGAACAAACTCATGAATCAATAGCGCAATTTAATGAAAACAACTGACATGATATTAACACACTAGACGATAATCTTTTCTGATTAATATGCATACATATATATATATATATTGAGATTAAAGAATAAATGTTAAGTAGAATAAAGTAATTTAATATATTATTACTTT